TGCTGTCAGGGGTGTGGCCTAATATGCTAATGAGTTTCTGCTGTTGGGTGTGGCCTATTATGCTAATGAGTTCCTGCTGGGCTTTTTCTACAAAAAGAGCCCTGATAAATGGTATATTACGCCAGATGAGTTGTCAAAATTTTACCCTAATATGTCGAACGATAGTTGGAAATGTCAAAATAATGTTGGTTCCTTTTTTCATATGTGGTGGACTTGTGATAAAAGGGGGAAAAATTGGGCTTGGATACATGAAATATAGCAAAAAGTAATATACCTTTTGTACCAGAACTCTTTTTATTGAATATACTTCCAGAAAATTGTAAAAGAAATAAGACTCTTATCATATTTTACATGTAGTTACAACTGCTAGAATATTGAAAAAGAGGAAATAATAAACAAACCACTTGAAACTGCTGAAATGGATAAACTAACTTTAATTTTTAAAGGACATGAGGAAAGCTTTGAAGATACATGGTCAAGACTTTACAAATGGATTGAAGAACATAACAAATGAAGAGTGAACATAACCAAAACAGAGGACAATAAGAATACTTATGATAAAATGTGCAAAGCTATGATTAACAATATAAGGTGTAGAAATATTATCTTATTGAGAGATGTATGGATATAACAGATAATTCAAAGAGATGGAGAGACTCTCCCATGTAATGTTTTTTTTTGTTTATGTCTGTCATAAAATAAAAAAGACTTGTTTTTAAAAAGAAGCATTACGTCCCACCACTACACATGAGGAGAGAGATTAAAGGTTTTGACTTTGCTTGTGATCAAGTCAGATTTCAGGTGTGCAATCATAAACATTATTCTTATTTTTTTTAATTGCCACAATGCTAGTAAAGGTTTCTTTATCAATTTGGGCATAGATCCTGTTAGTAGATTGTCCCTAAGTAAAAGGCAATAGGTTTCAGTAAATGTGTGATTGATGATAGCTCTAATACCAAAGACACATCACATGTAATGGATAGGGATGGGCACAAACTGGGGAAATGTGGTTTGTTCCAGTTTGTGGTTCGTGGTGTGCCTGGTTTGTGAGCCAAGAACCATCATGAACTAATAAAAGTTAACAAACCAGTTCAGTTCATGGGGTTCATTATGTGCTAGAGCCCCCCCTGACATGCTAGAGTCACCATCTACTCTCCTCTACCTAACCTCCAAGAATGGTGATGATTGGATTTATGAGGACCAAGTTACAGCTCCCCAAAGAAGGTGCCCCCAGCTTTCTGGGGAAATGACTGGTGCAGGTTAAGAAGGTTCAAAGGTGAATAGAATGGATCATGAACACGCTAGATACACCAGACTCAAACCTGATCTCCAGCTGACTCTCCTCTACCTGCCCTCCAAGTTTGTTGAGGATTGGATTTATGGGGTTCATGTTACAGCCCCCTAAAGAAGGTGCCCTATCCTCCATTGTTTCCAATGAAGGAAAAATAAACAGCAAAAAGGCCAGGGCAACAGAAGCCCAGCAGAACAGGATCAAAGTCTCAGAGAATCTTTGCAGTAGATACTTAAGGTGGGGGGCATTTTTGCAAGCCTAGCAGAACCAGTACAATGTGCCCAGCAGGACCAGTGCCACTATAAGAACATAAGAGAAGCCAATGTTGGATCAGGCCAATGTCCCATCCAGTCCAACACTCTGTCACACAGTGGCCAAAAATACCAGGTGCCATTAGGAGGTCCAGCAGTGTGGCCAGGACACTAGAAGCCCTACCACTATTGCCCCCCCCCAAAGCACCAAGTGCATCACCTGCCCCAGCCTGTGAGTTCCTTTCTATACCTTGTGGCTAATAGCCACTGATGGACCTCTGCTCTATATGTTTATTCAGTTCCCTCTTGAAGCTGTCCATGCTTGTAGCCACCACCACATCCTGTGGCAGTGAATTCCATGTGTTAATCACTCTTTGGGTGAAGAAGTACTTCTTTTTATCTGTTCTAACCTGACCGCTCAGCAATTTCATGGAGTGCCCACGAGTTCTTGTATTGTGAGAAAGGGAGAAAAGTGTAAACCCAACAGGACTAAGTTCAAAGCAAAGAATCTCTGCTGTAGAAACTGAAGCAAACCCAGCAGAACAAGTGCAATGTACTAGTGTCCAGAAGAACCTAGTGCCATTGTGGCAATGCCAGCTCAACAGGACTGATGTCTAGCACAAAATCACGCTACAAGCAAGGGGGGTTGCAAGCCCAGCCGAACCAGTGCAATGTACTAAGTGCCCAATAGAACCCAGTGCCAATGTGGCAATGCCAGCTCAATCACAATCCAAGTGGAGGGGCATTTTTGCAAGCCCAGCAAAACCAGTACAGTGCCATTGACATTGCAAGCTTAACAGGAATGATCTCAAAGCACAGAGTCAAAATCCAAGCAAGGTAGGTGGTATTTTGCAAGCTCTGTGCATGAAAATGGGAAGTGAACAAAAAGGAAGGGGGAGAACCATCTTGAAACTGACATGACTAGTTTGAAACTGACAACCGTGTTTCCAAGGCTGGAGAATTCCACACCCCCCCCCAGTTGCTTTGAAGTTTGGTAAACATTTTGTTTAAGCGGAGGCAGTGTGTCTGGAAATGTATCCATTCACAAACGGGCACAAACCTTCACAAACTGAAAGTTCGTGGAAAGTTCGCACCAGTTAACCTACCATGAACTTCAGTTCGTGAACCATGAACCAGCCAAAATTTGTCATGAACTTTAGTTTGTGAGCCAGTTTGTGACCATCCCTAGTAATGGACAATGGCCTTGGTTCATCCCAGACTCCATAGCTTCTTGACGTTCTTCCTGCTAGCAAGTCTACTTCCATTGCACACCTTCATACATCAATAGGTGAAAAAATCTTCTATGAGATTTTATCTTTCAAGAATCTTTGCTAAAAGCTGAGTCATCCTACAAATGCTTGAAGATGCAGCCTGCATGTCAAATAGGGGCAGCATTTATTTCCTTTACCTTCAATAGGGTGGATGCTGGACACAATGATTCAGTATCCCAGGAAAATGATATTGGAAGATCTAAGCTGTCATTTCTCATTCTTAATTCTGAAAGCCTGATTGATTAGAACTCTATGGAACTTCTCAGAGTCACTCAGTGAGTTGCTCTTCAGATGGATCTATGATTAATATATCATTAAAGAACTACACTAGAGATTCCTGCTAGGAGAGCTACCATAAACTGCTGGAATATTCCAGATGCTGAAGAAATTCCAAACTGGAGGTACTTGACAACTTCTGTCAATTGCTGATAAGACTTGAGTTAGGTCCAGTTTGGCAAAAAGCTATCCTCCTGGCAGAGCAGACAATAGCTGGTTAATGACAGGCACTGGGAGCAGGTTCTGCTTCAGCGCTTTGTTTACTGTGCACTTGCAATCTCCGTAGATAGGAACAATAGGTATGGCCCAGTTTGTACAGATGGCTGGCTCATGGCCTCCTTGAATAAGGTCAATCCAGCTCTGAATCAGTCATTGGGTATAGAGAAAAAGGTACATTTGGGGCCTTCATAAAGATGGTGCTATTTCAGGATCTATATGGAACATCATGGGCAGACATTTGAAAGTTTCCAATTTCTCAGAGGGTACATGATGAATTGGAGCTGCGGTGGCTCAAGTGATTAAGACGCTGAACTGCAGGCTGTGGAAGGTCAGTCATTCAGCAGTTTGAGACCCGAGTTGCCGTATGACAGAGTGAGCTCCCGTCTCTAGTTCCAGCTCCTGCCAACCTAGCAGTCCGAAAGCAAGAAATTGCAAGTAGATAAATAGGTACCACTTCGGTGGGAAGGTAACAGCGTTCCGTGCACTTTGGTGTTTAGTCATGCCGGCCACATGACCACGGAAACGTCTTTGGACAGCGCTGGCTCTTCGGCTTTGAAACGGAGATGAGCACTGCAACCCTAGAGTCGGACTCGACTGGCTTTTGAGCAAGGGAACCTTTACCTTTACCTTTTACATGATGAATTGCAAGCTTTTTCAGTGCAAACAATATGCACATCTTCAGCAATTATTACAAATGGTGTGAATAGTTGTGCAACACTATTTAGTGACAGTAAAGGAAAATCAGGAACGTGCTGGGCAACCACATGGCAAGTTTCAGTATTTTCAACAGTCTGTACATTGACACCACAGATGTGGTAAGCTAATATCAGTCACTAGAGCACCTGGAACAAAATGTTTTAATACATAAGACTAAACCAGATTCTGAGTCAACGTCCATTCTGCTTTCACTGTCTTTTGACCTTGCCTAAGAAAAGTAAACTTCTGAAGGCTAATAGGTGGGTTTGGGCAAAAGTATGTCTTGAGTAAGACAGATACAGTAAAGGAGCAAACAATGGTGACTGTTTTAGTCCCGCACACACTATTTGGTTTTGTTCTGAACTTGCTATCCCTGAATACTGCCTGACTAACATCAAACTACTCTATGTGGCCAAATTAATCCCTTTTACATACAGCAGCAGCAGAAAAACAACCTTCCCCTTAGTGAAAACTAGAGAGTCTGGCCCCAGAAAGTTATTCCCACAATTCCAAAGATGTATCAGCAGCAAGCCTCTCCGCAACAAGATATATTGTGTTGTGGAAACTGTGCAATATGACACTCAGACAACAATCTATTTACATTAAAACAAACTATTTACAAAATTCAGTATTTTAAATTAAAGACAGCTGCCCTCATCTCAGGAGATAACAGAAGGCTATCATCAAACTTTCTGCAATTTTTATGAAATAATTCAGTGAAAATGAACTGATCCCAGTATAGTCACATTCCCTTCCACAGCTCACATTTAGCACCTCCTGGGGGTTTGAATTTAAGATGATTTCATACAAGAGGCTAAGTGTGGTTCCTTCCTGTAATGCAATTATAAAACTTAAATTGGCTAGAAAGTATTTATTTATTCAAATTGCATTATCGTCTACATTTCCTTCTGTATTATTAACTGTCATAAGTACTGTGAAAAGAGGTTCAGATGCACTTTTAAGTGTTGTGTGTAAAAAGATGCACTGATTACTCACTTGTGGTGTTTCCTGTCATCTGTATTATACATTTGGAATCCTTGCCCATTTCTCGGGAGTTGAAAGGACGCACCCGCACCGCCACCTTTACAGAAGCTCCAGCCATCCTGCTGGTCTTGAGGCTTTCTCCTCTTGATGGGATTTCAGTCCTGAAAACGCCCTGGAGGAAACAGGAAAGGTATGTTAGGAACGGCTCTCATGCTGGTGCAGATTAATCAATGAGGGGCCGAAGACGCTCCAATGTACCTGCCTTGCTAACAGTGCATTCCTATACAGAGTTACTCCAGTTTACTCCCATTGATTTAAATGGATTTAGACTGGAGTACCACTCTTTAGGACTGTACTGTAAGCCTCTCAGTAAACTGCCATCTTCATTTTAATGACAAAATCTCAGTACTCCAAAACGGGGGGGGTCCCATAATTTAACATTTTTTTAATAACTATCAATATACTACATGGCCATTTAGATGCATTTTGCATCCTTGGGACTAGTTTCCTAGTTGTCCTTCCCTAGTTATGCTGTTGCAAATAATTCACTTTTTTGCAGAACCTGTGTAGCTACATATGCTATGGGATCAGGGGATTCTTCCTGCAAAGCAGGTTTAGGTAGACTTGGGTAATACCTGAAATAACAAATAACAATAGAGAATACAGATATGTTAGCATCTTTGATGAATTATGACTGGACTGTTTAAAGTAACTGGCAGTGGTGGGCTGAAGGCTGTTAGGAATGGGCAGTGCTCAGTATGATAGTAGGGGTCACAGCCATCCTCTCTCATTAATTGTAGATGCCACATTTCAAGCTAGGGTTTCAGAGAAACAAATGGAAAAACAGGATTTTTTGTCTTATAACCAACCAACATATGGTGACCTGACCCAATCAAACCCCACCCATCTCCAAAACACACCTGGGAAGCTGACAGATGTGAACTACGGGATGATGGAGCATCGAATAGGGACAAACATTTCCCGACAAATACTCTCATGGAACTCATTCCATTTCAGCCTGCTCACTTCAAGCATTCTAACTGGGGACATATATTTAAAAATTCTAAAAGATTTATAGCAAGTACATCACTGGCTCTTGCTTTAAGATGGAACTGCCACGCTGTAAATATATGCTTGGATCCACCATAATGTTTCACTGAAGGATTCTCATCTATCGAGCACAACTTTTCACTCCCCCCTCCCCATTCTTCTCCTGGAGTAGGAGGGATCCCCAGGAGCAGCACTTCAGCGGGGATTTTGGGGCTGCAATGGGAGGGAGAGGCAAGAAAGTTGTGCTTCTTGAGTAGAAATCCTTCCATCTGTGCAAATGCTCTTGTTGATTCAAGCCGTATTGAGTACTGTATGCACTACTACACTCATATACTGAAAATCAAAGCAAACACGAAGATCAGGCAGTCCTTTGCTAATTGTGCACCTGGCCACCTATGCCACCCAGCATGTCAGCCCAACCTATAAACATCCATGTAGGGATTTAGTCAGAATTAGTTGTATGTTCATACATATTACATAGCTGATTCCTAATTAAAGCTAGGAATTGACTGTGTGAAGCTAGGAATTGACTGAGCCTCTGGGAGTATAGAGATGGGGCTGATATGATGGTGAGAAGGGTAGGCTGGCATGCCCTCCCTCTCTCACCACCATGTGTAGAAAGCTACTGAAAAAGTGTCATCCAGCCTGGCTAAAAAAAATTCAGAGGAATCAGTGAACGTGCTTGTCCTGAATTTACCTTTGATTGGCTGTGAAAGAAAATGCCTGTTACAACAGGCATCTTGTTGATCATCACATCTGGTTCCCTTCCATATTAATTCAATTAATGATGAATCACAAGAATTAGCAGGAACAGAATGATGGTTTTTGATACAAAAAAGGTTCTGTTTTTCTTAACCGTGTTTCACTTGGATACAGAGAAAGTACATAACATGTTCCCTTTGCTTTTGTTTGCTTCTAGGCACACATCTAAGAACCTCCTGGGCCTTGCCCAGTATAGCAGAAGCCACCTTGAGGTTGTAGTCTAAGCTTGACAATGATCTTGTAGCTTTGAACTGAAACATCAATCCCAGGCAATTGCATTCACATCTTATATGTCAGTTACCATAACCACAACTAATAGGAACCATTATTATCATCAGAGGAAAAAGAATTGTACACTTTTGTGGCGGAACATGCTTGCTCTGGCCTGCAGGCCCTATTCCATCCTGCCCTCCAAGATTCTTCTCTCTCTGAGAACCTGCCACCACCACCTGACCTTTGTAGGACTTGTCCACTGGGAGGGTCACGACCAGTGTTCCCTCTAAGCTGAGTTAGTGTGAGCTAGCTCACAGTTTTTTAGCCTCTGGCTCACACATTTTTGTCTTAGCTCAGGAAGGATGGCTCTAGAGCAAACGAATTTATGCAGTGGCCAAATCACTCACTCACAACTTTAATGCCAGTAGCTCACAAAGTAGCAGCTTTGCTCACAAGACTCCACAGCTTAGAGGGAGCATTGGTCACGACTCCCAGTTTCCCTTCCAAGTTCTGAGGTCTTGCCCCTGGGTCTCCTGCTACCCAGCACCTGGTCACCACAGGGACAGTTTACTGCCTTGTGTGCCCCTGGAGGAATAGCCGCTTGCCAACTACCAGCCTTCCCCCTGGCGCTCCTTTTGAAATAGTGTGCCCAAGATGGTGGAGGTCTATGTGCTACAGAGAACCACCACCAGCATCCAAAGTTATAAAGTATTTATCAAAAAGAAAATGTTCATAAGCATACTTTTAGCACAGGACCAGATTGAGCAAGGGATTCAAAAGATATGGGTAAAATGCAATTCCTCTGTCCTTCTCTCTATACATGCCCTATCAGATGTTAAAATATAGGACAGGCTCCCTAGGTTAGGAAGTTACAGATCTCTACAGAGTCTCCTTTATCTTGAAGCTTCCTTCCTGCTG